ATATATATATATATATATATATATATATATATATATATATATATATAATTTAACACCCCTAAGATATTATCATACATATACAAAAACAGATTTTTACATTTTAAAAAACTTTGTGAACCTCACTATGTCTAAAAAAAAATTTCCCAAGCTGCCAGAGGAGCATCGTGATAGAAATGGAAAAATACTGGCTGAATACGAGTGCAGCTCAACAATTAGAATATCCTGAAAAAGACCATTATTTTTTTTCTAATTAATTTCAGAAAGTGAAACTCGTATACTCCGTAGATTCATCACATACAGAGTGCAATATTTCAACCACAGTCATAGATAAGTCAACAGCTGTTGCTTGTTTTTTGCTTCTTCATCTCTTTGGTGACTTACTGAAAGGTTCAAAATCAAGAAATACAGACTGAGCCAGATTTTGATAAGAATTTATTGCGTAGCGTTTTAAAATCTCCATTTATAAATTACATTATAGATAGAAATGTCCAAACCGTTTTCCATTTAGTGCATTTTTGACAGATACATTTGCTATAGGACATACTGTTTAAAACAAAACGCTCAAATGTTAAACAAAAATAGACTTATTGAAGTTTTCTTTTTAAAGCTGGGTTTTTGTTTTACTTCAGTTTTTAGAGCTTGTTCCCCAAAGTCTAGTTGAAAGAGTGAATTCATCAAAAGATCTGAACCAGTGTGTTTCCCAGCACTATTAGTTGCTGTCCTGCTGTCACACATCTGTAGTACCTGGCACTGCACAGCCAAACTAAAACCACAAGTCTTTTCTGGTGGGGTCTGGGGTTAAAACCCCTCTGATCTGGTCTGAGTCCGTTCATAAAAACACTTTTTATGGATGGATATCACCTAACAGAATAGTTTCCTCCCAGAGATTTCTTCAAGTTCAACCTTCCAGCACCTAAAATTACAAATGCTCATAAAACAAGCAGATATTCACTCTCCTTCTCCATGTTCTTGTTCTTTTCATTCTTATTGTTCTTCTACTTCTTGTTCTTCTTTTTCTTGTTCTTTTTGTTCTTCTTGTCTTTCTCCTTCTCCAAAGGTGGTAAAAAATGTACATATCTAAGCAAACATGGGAAATTATGTACTGAATGACTCAAATGTGTCTAATCAGCAAAAAGGCACACCACACATTTTCTTCCAAGAGAACAAAAACCACAATTTCAACCTGAAGTTTAGCCGAGTCGCACACTTCTGCTGAATCCCTTTTCCGGGTTTCGCTTCTACACCAGTGGACTCCAAACGCCTGCTTTTACCAACAACAGAAGTCAGACTCATTACTAACTTCTGACAATAGAACCACTGCTGAAACGTCGATCAGCAAAGAGCAGGGTGTCCAAAGAGCAGCCTGAGGGCAGTGTGTGGCCATTGGACGGGTTTTCTGTGGCCCACGACTGTATTTTAAGAATTTAACATAGTTTTCGCCCACAATCTTAAAAAGTTGATGCAGGTGTAGACTTCCTGCGAAACTAATGGTAGTACTTTTATATTAAAATATAATTTTTAGGTTTAACATCAAAATGGATGAAAAAAAAATCTCAAAATTAACATTAAGCACTAACCTTTGGCTAAAATTAATAATTTTTTAATTGATTTCATGGCACAAAGCACCACAAACCTTTACTGACATCTACCAAAATGTAGACTTTTGGAGAAAACATAAAACTTGACTAAATATAACAAGCATTTTCATATTCAATTCAAATTCAAATTCAAAACTACTTTAATAATCCCAAAGGGAAATTAAGTGTTGTCGTAGCTCATCATCCTGTTTTCATTCAAGAGTTGTTATAGATGCTGATAGCTGGGGGCAGGAAGGATCTCCTGTAGTGAAGCCAAAGAATTGGCCACAGATACCGATTCGTCCACCCAGATCCAGCTTGTTATCAGATCCGGCGGGCCTCTCGGTCCTCCTGGGCAGCAGGACTGCCCGAATGCCGGGCAGAATTCCTCCATGAGTGATGGTCACTCCTTCCAGCAGTCTGCTGAGCTCCTTGTAGACACGGACAGACTGCTGAAGGTACCAGGGGATGATCTCAGTCCTCTCGTTTTCACAAGCCGAGTTTCCCAATGGTTCCAGGATTTCGGCAGTCAGGTACTCGAGCACCGCCACCAGGTTTACGGGAATTCGTCCACGGCGCCTCCTTTTCCACTCATTTCAGATTTGCGGCTGTAATTGTGGTACTTGAGCTTGTGAGATGTTAATCAGTTGCTCCTGGTTGTTAAAAAACACCTTGTTGCCATGGTTACACAACATAACAAATGCCCAAAAGTAAGAAGGTTTCAGTAAAAATCGTTCCAGCTGCACAGCATCCGATATGAGAGGAAATAATCATCCGAAAAAGTGATTTACATCCAGAAAAAAGAGGAATTAAAGTTTTCAAAAGCAATAACTCGGAATGAATGCAACAGAGCTACTCCAACATGCAGCCACCCGGAGCGGCGCAATTCTAGAACTGGTATATGTATGTATGTATATATATATATATATATATATATATATATATATACTTTTAATGTTTTGGATCTGCAACAGTTTAGAACTCCTTCACCAAATTAGTACGTTTTTTTGTAATTTCTCCAAAATATTGTTCACATTATTGTGTAAACAACCCCCCCCCCCCCCCCCCCCCAACCCCCCCACCAAACCACACACACACACAC